CCGTGCATCTTGTAGCATTTTCAAGTTTATTCTTGCCTTTTTTCCCTGCCATACAAATTTCAACACAATTTTATGAAGATCCTCAAAGAATTTCTTCTCTAATTTTATTGGTATTGTTTGAAATAAAAATAACAACCTTGGCAGTATATTCTTCTTAATTGTGGCTATTCTTCCTACCAATGAAAGTTGCAGTTGTTTCCATTTTTCCAGGGAAGTCCACTCATCTTAAAGTGGCCAAGTTTTGACAACACTGCTTTAAAGGAATTAAAATGTAAGTAGAAAGAAAAGGGAAAGTTCATTAACACCATCTCCTCAGTGCCGAGTGTGGACATAAGGGAAGGAAAAACTGCCTGGATTGTTTCTCTCACTAAAGAAAAGTTTATTTTTTAAGCCATTACAAAATTTCTTATGACTCAAGTGCGTGTTTAATTTGTGCAAACCATATCTGATTCAACCAATTCTGACATTTATGGGGAAGTATTCTCAATCACCAAGTATTATTAGAACGTCAGTTGTTTGGAAATAGTGCCATTTAGGAATCTGACCCTTTCTGACCAGGTTTCTGGTTCATGTTTTAGAAAATTCCTGGACAAAGCTGTTTAAGCCATCTCTGAAATTTTATTGTTCACATTCAGTACGAAGTTCTGCCATTCTGCAAATGTGCCTCTATGTGAATCCTTATTTAAAATGCTATAACTTTCATATTTTGAATTCTGCTTTATATGATTTTAGACCTGTTATAAATGTATTTTCCCCTTGAAAATACATTTTTCAATCATAAAGGCTAACATAAATGCTGTCCACTTCTAGGTATGCATGGACTATAGCTCAGTGTAGGATCTGTGGAAGTCATATGGGTTGGAAGTTTACTGCAACAAAGAAGGATTTGTCGCCTCAAAAATTCTGGGGATTGACCCGTTCTGCTCTGCTGCCAAGGATTCCAGAAAAAGAAAATGAATCTGGGCAAGAAAGATCGCTATTGCTTTGCCTTTGATCTGGTCACCTTACTCTGAACAAACTTAAAGCAGTTTATGTCTCAAAGAGAAACGTATTAAATGCTGCCTCTGGTATCTGATTATATATTTGAATTTGAAAAAAGGCACTGTTATTTCCAAATTTGAATTTGGAAGAAGAAGTACAAAATGTGAGATGGAAAGCGAGAAAAGCAGATGATTTCAAGTTATCTGGCATGTACTGAAGTGAACAGCTCAGATTTACAGCTGCTCTTTAATAATGTAAAAAGACATATACTATTGTTGAGGAGATAAAGCTGAGTAGAAGTGACATGAAGACTGTGTAACTTAAGTTGTGCATATTGATAGATATAACCTATTGCCCGCTGTTTTAAAATATTTTCCTGTAGAATGTTGTGAATTTACTAGAATACCTATTTTCTACCTGTATGAAATAGTTTACAGGTACTAGCATTTGCTTCAATAAGCCTTAAAAGACAAGGAGGCCCAACGTTCTGAAAGGGGCGTTCAGCTTCCTAGGATCAGACTCTAGCTGCTGTAGAAGCACGCGTTGAAGCCTGCTGCTCAAAGAACTTCCTGAATGCGACTCCTTTGTTAAAGCAAAATCCAACTGGGCTGTTTGTGTTTGCTTTATCTCTTTTACAGGATTTTCACTCCATTTGGCATTTTCAGACTTTCCTTTTTAAAAAGCGGAAACATAAGTTAGTTGTTTTTGCCTCTAGTATCATAATAAAGGGTATGATTTTCCAGATCGATATCTCTAGTACATTTCAGTTAATCATTTTACAAATGTTTGTAATTAAATGTTTTGAAGCATTATGTGTCTTTTTATGTGTCTAAGAACTTGGCATCACAGTTGTTCATAAACTATATATTTGGTATTGGAAAGCAGCAGACATCTTACTACCCTTTGTAATTTCTTATCTGAAACTGAAAGATTGTGTGGTAATAATGCTTCCCATAGAAACTTGTTGTTTTTCAGGAGATATTATGGTATAGAAATGGGTGACAAAAAGAAGGTATAAAGACTTCATAGATTGTTTTCCCAGAATGCACTGCAGTAAGCAAAATCCGCAGGTATCAGATTCGTTTTATAGATATATGTAGTGATCCTGTTAATAATATGTGTTACCTTGCTGAAATAAAAACATTGCTGAAACATTTTAGTAATTTCATACATACCATCATATTTCCTGGTGAGAGAAGGTTATTTTGAAGCAAACACCTAACTTTAGTGATGTCATTTGTTGTATAAGTGGAAAATGTGTTTTGAGTGTAAGTGTGATTCACCCCAAAAAGGAACTTTTAATGTACTACATACCAGCAAGTGAGTTTGTGACTCGGGGCTAATTCCTTAAAGTCTTCTACCTCTATGGTACAATGGCATTTTTATTTCTCATCACAGTTACTGTCGAATTACCTTTTTCCTTTTACGCTTCAACACTGTTTCTCTTCTAGTCAGAAGCAATACTAGCTGCAGCCTCATTCTGAATAGAGCAAGATAAGGACATCTTACTAAATGAACATTTTAGATTTTTAAAAAAAATTGTTTTCTTTTGTTAGTATAAAAAATGTATTGAAAGCACTGGATTGTCAGCGGAAGGTCAGTCTGTAATGAACTAAATCAGGATACTAGTCAGCCTTCTCCTAATTAAAGGTATTGTGGACTCAGTTTTTCAAGGGGTGAAGTTCCTGAAGTTTGTTTTCCTGCCAGTTTTGTTCTGCTATTGGATAAACTGGTGGCCAAGGAGTTGAATTTTCAGCTATGGTCTGAGAGCAAGATAGCTTCCCATATTAAAAGTGTCTCCCTTATGCCTGAGCCTAGTAAAGTCAGTCACTAGTCTGACGCTCACATGTTTCGCTTTTCTGCCATAAGTAAAATGCAATGATTACATTGGAACACCCATCTTAATAGATCTGTCCTCTTCCTCTGTCTCATCATATGAAACAAGTTTTCCATTGTCACAATTCAGATGGAAGAGTGAAGTCCTATATTTTCAATCAGTGTCTTGGTTCAGTGGCTCACTGGGTGTGTCAAGTATCATGCTAAGATCTGTTCTGACTGTGATGCGCATAATGGTGAAGGAACAAAAGCAGTAGCCTCACTGTTCATTGATATCAATTTTTTCCACAAATAGCCTGCACCGTGTATAATTAGGTCTCTCCGTATAGTTGCCTAAAATGGCAACAGAAGAATGGAAGGGGTTCAAATATGCTTAACTTTTATGTGATTCATTATGAGTTTAAGCAAGGCTTTCTAAAAAACCAAACAAACGAACTTGGACACTCATTATAATTTGTTGATATCAGGAATAAGTATTTTTTTCAATTTTCACTTAATGTTGACAATTATATCTCCTACCCCACTCTGTGATGGACCTAAGATTATTAAACTAATAACATATTCTCACGTTAGCGTAAGTTCAAGTTATTGCAAAGGCATATCCTGCTGTTGTGAAATTGGCTGTTGTCCTCCCAATTATAAACTTTAAACATAAAGCATATGCTTTATAGTTTCAGTATAACACCATTAATGCTTCTCTTTATTAGCTCAGTTTTTCTGTTTGTATACATACTGTGGGGCTTACTTCCAAAAATTGAAGAAAAGGAAAAAAAAAAAAAGATGGGAATTAAGGTGTTCAAACAGATAATAAAACAATAGAATCACTGTTTCCCTTTGAGTGCTTACTGTATAAACTAAGTGAATATTACAAATATTCACATCTTTAACTTTTTCTGAAACAGTACCAATACCACTAAACATCTGAAAATTTATTTTTACATCATAAAATATCTATATCTATATCTATATTTTGCTTGTCACTGTTTCTTTGTCTTTTTTAAACAAACCATCCTTTTCTTGGAAACAAACTAAACAAAAGCTGCTGCAGTTTCAACAAAGTACTTTTATATCATTTATTCCTATTAAATTTCTAAATCAGACATTATTTGTTAATTTTAGTGGTGATTTTCAAACTCTCACTACCTTAATAGCAAACCATGTCCAAATAAACTGGCTTTCCATTTTCCTTTTGATTCAGATAAATCCATAACTTTGTATACTACTATCAGTATGAAACAGGACAAATAATATCTTAAGCCTTGTGCAAGTACTATCACTTTTGATTGTGTGTGAAGCAAGCACCTTTTTAAAGAGCTTCACATTACTGAATTTTGTTTAGATAGAAGTCACATTAATCATACTATTTTTCCCATGTTATATTGCTACTTAGAGTATTTTTATATCCCACTTTGATTCACCCTTTGAATTTTATTTTTAGAAATTCATTGTTTTTGCTTTGTCAAGTTCATCATGGATCATGGGCTTTCATGAAGAAAGGTATTGCTTGTTTTAAACTGAACCTTGCTTTAGTTCTTTGGCTGAATTCTGAACATTCAAAATCACAAAATATCCAACAAAATTCTAAGGCTTTTTTTAATTTTAATTTTTCTTTCTATTTTTAATATTCAAGCTGTTCTTTTTTAAACATGTTCTTGTAAAACATTGTTTTTAACATCCAAGGGAGTTTTTAAAGCTTTGGTTAAACATGTTTTTCCAACTGAGCATTTTTTCATGTGTCTGGAATTTCACTTAGTCATATTATATGTTTTGTACTTAAAACAATGAAAGAGTTTTAAAGAGAAATTACTGCTCTTCACCAAAATAATGCCAATGCGTTTTTTCATACTTTTCTTAACAGCATGGAGTTTGAATAGTTTGTAGGGTTTATGAATATGAAATTTCTGTTAGGCTTTTCAAGGAGACCCACTGAAATGCACACAATTATTAATGGAACTTAGAATGTATCCAGATGTTACTCCATTGCATAAATATTCAATGAGTGCATTTTAGTGGGAAAACTTCTGCCAGGTGAGTGAAAGTATATTTGCAGAATCTCCCCATCCTAAGTCATTGGAGCTGTCTCCTTGGGGTTTTGTTGGATTCTCCAAACTTACGCAGCATCCTTTGAAGAAACAGAAGAGATTTCAGATAAAGAGCATGGTCAAAGACATTAGCCTCCCCCACTCAGCCAGCAGGATGATTAATAAATCACTTTGGAAAACGAATCGGTGTTCCCGTATTCACTATTGATTGTTATATAAAAACAAAAACTGGAAGAATTAATTGTCAGGACATTTCATAGCATTTATTTAAAGCCAGAAGGAAAGGTTCATGGCATTCGACATTAAATAACCACATAGCAATTAAAATGTTTATTTGGTGCTGGAATTAAATATGCACAGGCTGTGTGATTCTTTTGATGTGAATTTAAGATTGATCCATGGCAGTTTAGGGCAGAACTAGAGACTCAAATTGAAAACCTTCGGTTGTCTGCAACAGTGTTTTCTTCGATGCTGAAAGTAGTAGCCATATCCTTTCTCTTGCCAATGTGGTTGCTGCTTGTAAACTCTGTATTTGTTTTCTACTTGCATTTTTGGAAGCACCATTCAGACATCTTCAGATGCTTATATTGAATGCAACTGTCTGCAGAAAAACTTCACTGACCTTTGTGTCAGCAAGGTTCTGCTAATACAGGATCTGTGCTCACATAGAAGCCAACAGCCATACAATCGTGTACATAACTTCTCTTACTATCTGTACAAGCCAACATCCTTTGAGTGGTATGGGCTTATCCAGGACACTCACATGTTGAGCATTCCCCATTTACCAATGCTCAAGCCCATCTTTTTAGGTGGCTTCTAATCACTAGCCCTAGAAAACTGTCTTCGATGATATGATACAATTGGCAGTTGAAGCAAATGGAGCTCTGGTGAAGGTGAACTATCTAAAGAAAGGGTGAGGAAGCATCGACAAATTCCACTAAATACTACCAACTGATAAATAGGCATATTTCCTTCCTTTCTTTGTTGGGACAATAGTCAGGACTATCTCAATGGCCCAAGTTTGTAGTTCTTGGTTTAAAAAGAAAAGAAAAATGAAGATGTGCTGGCAAACCTAAGGCTACCATATCAGCACTACCAAAACCCAGATGACCACTAGATACCAGCAAGTAGCTCTTTGCTGCCATCTCATGGTAGTCATGAGCTTTGCATGTACAGGTAATTCTCATTGAGCAACCACAACTGGGACCAGCAACTTGGTCATTAAACAAAATAGTCATGAAGTGAAACCGCAACACTGCTTATGATCAGACCTGCAAAGATTGTAAATGCCAGGACTGGTTGCAAAGTTACTTATTCATCGCTGTCATAAGTGTAAACAGGCGCTAAACAATGCAGTTGCTAAATGAGGACTACCTGTACATATGATAGACCTAGACGGTTTATATAGCAGTCATCAGTCAAGAGGGTAAGAGTGTCAGTAACTTCAGTATTGGTGCCTATGATGCTCCAAAGCAATGTGAGTAGGACAATACTGTTACCAGGAGTTTGCAACCATAGTCTTCTCCTTTACTGCCACTGATTTTTGATTCTGCATCTGCATTGCTCCTGGCTTGGCCTTGACCCATTAAGTAAGTATTCTCACCTTGTCCCACCTGCCCACTCAGGTAAGCCACCATGCCTGAAAAGTTGCTATAGCACCATGATGTCTTTGCACCAATTTTTTTAGAAAATTGAGCAGACGGGTAGCTTTCCTGCTTACTCTCAAATCAACTGGGCTTCTTAAAAGTTGTTACCTAGCTGGGTAATGAAACGTTTGCAAGAAAAGAACCAAGCTCAGGGAACCCCAAGGACTCCACACTTCTTAAAATTGTCATGGAAAACAACATAAAGGAAACATGAAGTGTAGCTGCTATGACTGGCTGGCAAGATCATTGTTCAGCTTATCTGAAGTTCTGGTGGCAAGGACACTTCTGAGCCAGTCTACGTAATAATCCTGGAGTTTGGGAAGCAAATAGTGGTGCAGAAATACCTAAGGTAAATGGTATTTGTTTTAAGACTGGAAAAGCTTGGAGAGGGAGGATAAGATGGAAGTGTCCTTATGGAAAGGGTTTAAGAAACATGTTCTTTACATGCTGCCTGACCATACTTACTATTTACCACTTCCTAGCATTATGGACCTTGACTCCCAAAAACATCCACTGTATTGTCCCACTTGTAGCTATTCGAGTCTTCCCTTTAAAGCATTGGCCATTTTGCATAAACCACAAGTCCATTATTTACAAATACCATTCAACATTACAAACATTGAAATGGTAACAACTATGTCCAGAGATTAAAGTCTGTAGAGCAAAGTTTCTGAAACATTTGGCCTATGGTGCTCAGACCTCTAATTACAGGTAGTCCTCGCTTAACAACTGTTCATTTAATGATGGTTTGAAGTTTTGATGGCCTTGGAAAAAGTGCTTTACAACCTGTAGTCTCATGACCATTGCAAATCATCACACACCCCTGCGGGCACGAGTGTGATTTGTGACCTTTTCTGTGACAGTCGTTAAGTGAATCACTGTGGTGATGAAGCAAATCACTGCAGTCATTAAGTGAATTACAGCAAAAAACATCCATTGGGGAAACTTGATTTGCTTATTGACCACGTGGGTCTAGTCATGTGGTGACTCACTTAATGACCACCTTACTTAATGAATTTACCAGACCCTATTGTGGTCGTTAAGCGAGGATTACTGTATATTTTTATATTAGTTTCTAATGTGTGTCTGTTGGTGAATGCTGGTCTCTGACCATAAATAGAAATAATCTGGTTTTGCATTTACAAATCAATTCAAAATTTGACTTCTAACAAGATCATCATCCTACAATCCAACCATATGATGACTGTGGCCTTCTCAGGTTGCTATCCATATACAAAATGCCCTCTTGTCTTTTGTGTCTATTTTTATTCCAGAATTGGACAAGATCACATTCAAACCTTTCCATTAATTAGAGCAAACTGCCATTGACACTGAATGCTGTATACAGTGGGGCAAAAAAGTATTTAGTCAGCCACCAATTGTGCAAGTTCTCCCACTTAAAAAGATGAGAGAGGCCTGTAATTTTCATCATAGGTATACCTCAACTAT